GACCCTGGGCCCATCCCTCCTTGACCATAGGGACAGATACCTCTGAGGGGAGGCCAGCTTCCAGGAGTCTGAGCCTCGCAGGCAGCCCCCTTCACAGTTCATGCCCTCAGGTCAGACCCCCCCCCCCCACCTTCCATGCATGGTCCTACTTCAGGACAGCACGCACAGTTCTCTTGCTTTTTGTGCCCTTTATGTTCTGGTCATCCATTTTCATGGATCACGTTAGGTCCTTCCCAAAACCTTCACTGCCAAAGACTTAGGATTCAAATATTTGTTTTTTGCCACATGGTGGCTGTGCAGCCCAGTGAAACTTGTTCAGCCTCTCCAAGCCTCAGTTTCCTTCTCTGTAAGGAAGCAGTGGCCCACAGCTACTTTAATAGGGCCGAGGGAAACGCTCTGTACCTGGTGCTCCGAAGTCTTTAGCTACAGCCAGCTCCCTTCCTTCTCCCCAGCCTGGTGCAGAATGAGGAGTCAACTCCCTATCTCAGGTTCATAGAGAACCAGTCACATTTCATCTATTTACCTCAGAGCACATTATCCTCTTGCCCCACCAGATTCTGGCCATTCTCCAAGTTCATCATGTTCTTTCTTACCCCTGAGCCTTTGCACCAGCCATACCCTCAGCCAGGGGCCCGTCCTTCCTCCCCAGCAAGGCACTTGCCATCTTTCAGCCCCTTCTCATCCCAAGAGCATGATTGTTGAGCTGAATTAGCCAAAGGAGGGAGGCATGGAGGCTGGAGCTGGAGATACAGGCAGGGGCTGCTAAGGTAGATGGAGCAGTGCAAGGTCTGAGGCTCCAGTTAACAATGTAATTAGCCCAGCATCATGGAAGGGAAAGAGTTCAAGTAGGAAGAGAGGAGGGCTGTTTCTCTGGGTGGGCGTTAGGCTTGGCTGTCATTTGGGGAAAATTCCTCTGGCAGGACCCTTGAGTGGTCTGTCCAGAGGACATCCAGTTGTTCCTTCTTGAGGGAGACAGCCAGGGGGCAGGAAGGGGACAGGCACTCTGGTGATTTCCAAGCTGGGTCAGGGACCCAGTGCTGGGACTTTCTGTTCCCAGCCTGACCCTGGCTGCCCCATCTACACCCAAGATGAACTTAAACATAGGGACTCCGGTCTGTTTGGAGGAAAGGGGGAACCCTGAGCCCACAGGGCAGCCAGTGGATCTCCTTAGGCCTAAAATAAGAAGCAGGGCCTCAGAGGCAAGTCAGCTCAAGACTACACTACCCCCTTTCCCCTCCACGTGGCACCCAGGCTCTGGGAGGGGCTTATCACCCCTGAGCTAGGGCCTCATTGACCCAAACAAGTCTGTGCATCTTGGGAACTGCCAGTCCTTGACACGGTTCAGCTTCCATGCACCTGTTCAAATGATGTCTCAGAGCTGCTCAGGCACCAGAGGGGGAGAGTCTGGAAAAGGCCTGTGTCTGTCCACCAGTCATGGGCTGGACATAGGGGAGATGGCAGTACCACTGAGGAAAGAAGGCAAGGCAGGTAGGGGGAATGAGGGCTCTGACTCCAGCAGGGCTTGGCTCTGCCATCCAGGGAAGATGGCCTAGACCCTCTAGCTTTGAGTTCCATTGATAAAATGGACATGGGATTCCTTTCAAATGCTGCTGTATATGTGAGCAGGCCTGCGATGAGATTCTCTCTGGACCACTGAAGCACACGTGTCATCGTCCATAGCTCAAAGACAAAGTCCACATGCCTAACTTGGTACATGATGAGCCCTGTCAAGTTCTTTTACTTCATTTTCTGAGATGTTGATCAGTGACTTCCCTAAATGTGACTGCACCCAAAAGCTCACTGTCCCTACTAACATGCCAGGTTCTGACAAGGGTCTGGAGCCCTTGCAGTATCATCTGCTCTCCTGGAATACATGTTCTGTTCAGGGCCCATCAATGCCCCCTGTACTGACTCCTACCTGCTCCCAACTGAGAGAGGATACCACTTCTGTTGCCTAAAGTTTGGACACGCTCTCCTTTCCTTTGGTTTTTTGAGACAGAGTTTCTTTATGTAACCCAGGCTGGCCTCGACCTCATGGTCCTCCAACCTCAGCCTTCTGAGGGTTGGAGCTACAAGTAATTTTACCCTGGGTCTCTTGTATTAGCACTGAGCTGACTCAGTTCAGGCTTCAGAACTCTAAGAAAGGCTAGAGGGAAAGAGGAAAGAGAGTTTCATGGTCAGAGCAGGGAAGGGTGGGAAGGTAGTTTATGCATTGTGATTGCCCACATCCCATCTTTGCCCAGCGCTGGGCAGCGTTTGAGATCTCAGGAACAGATGAAATCAGGCCTCCTCCAGTGTGCTGCAGTGCCATTGAGCCCCATTGTTTCAAACAGTAGTGCCCCGACGCTGGACACTGTCTATGAGAACACTAGCACCATCCTCAGGTTGCCCTGGAGATAACAAACTCCCAGCACAGACAGGAAGGCCCAGCCCTGCCCCTCCAACCAAGGCTCTGCTCTCCACAGCAGCACAGATAAAGGTTGTGAGTTCCAAGAAGGGACAGGAACAGACTGGACATCGAATTCACGACAGACAAGTCCAGCTCACCATCTGGATCTTGGTGGTCTGAAATCTGGTCCAGCAGGCAAGGCCCAGCCCAACTTGGAATGAAGTGAACCCCTTCCTCCCACCCTGCCCAGATGTCCACTCTGTCATTGACACTGAAGGAACAGCTTGCTTTATCTGGAGCCAGTGTTGAAATGCTTAAGGCAGCCAAAGGCAGCAATGTGCAGTCTGGGGAAGGACAATGACATAGAGAAGAAAGAGCTTTGGCAGCAGGCCATCCTGTGTCCTGGCCCCACTTTGATGCTTACTTCTTGTGTGTCCTTATACAAGTCACTTTCCCTCTCTGAGCATCAGTCTCCTCTTCTATTAAAAAGACAAGAACAGCTGGACTCTGGTGGTTCGTGCCTGTCATCCTAGCTACTCAGAAGGCTGAAATCTGAAGATGTAGGTTCAAAGCCAGCTCAGCGCAGGTAAGTCCATGACACTCTTATCTCTAATGAAGCACAAAAAGACTGGAAGTGGAGCTGTGGCACAAGTTATATAGTGCTAGCCTTGAGCACAAAAGCTTAGAAACAGTACCCAGGCCCTGACTTCAAGTTCCAGAACAAGCATGCAAGCACACACACACAGATAAGAACATTCTACTGAAAGCCAGAGCTGGGATTTGAACATAAGGCATTGCTACATTGGAACAGCTGTAGAAATAAACAGCTGCAACCCTGCAAGTGAGGAAGAATGGACTTCAATCATGGGTCGGGTTGCGTGTGCACACTGGCTGGCAGAGGTTACTCCAGCGGGAATCCACCAGAAAGCCTTCCTGAAGGAGCTGGCATTTGGAGGAATGGGAAAAGATTAAGTTTCACCAAAATGGGAAGTGGGTGGAGGTGGGAGAGTGGGTTTTGTGGATCATGCTGTGAGGAACATAGAGAGGGAGATTATTTTCTTTAACCCCTCCATGCCCACACAGGGACGCTCTGACCAAGGCCTCAAGGCATGTGGCTGGGTGATTGGTGGGGCTCTGCAGAGCTGTGGCTGACCTTTGGTGCTCCTGAGACATCTGGTGATTTGGCCCAGGATTCTTTCCAGGCTCTGTCTCTTGCTCCACCTGCATCCTCTCACCCTTCAGCCAACTTGTGGTGGCTTCTGGTTACTCAATGCATGGACACTGGGGTCAGCTTCCTGCTATATATGTGTCAGGGGGCAGCTGGAGAAAGTTCCAGAGCTGGCCTGCAGGGACCACATGTATTTTTTTTTTCTAAACCAGTCAGGTGGAGGGACAGAGGAGTGGCTGGGGAGCAAGCATAGAACAATGGAAGTTTTTGGTCCTTCCCACATTATGGAGTCTCTAACCCTTGCAGTCATACGGAGGCCAGGCTGACTGGGAGTTCAGTTTGCCTTCACCCCTCAAACCAAGTCTTCCTATGCTGGGCATGATGGTACACAGGAGGCAGACAAAGGTGGATTGAGAGTTTGAGACTATGTCTCCAAAAAAAAAAAAAATAACCAAACAATAAAAATAAACCAAGAAAAAAACCCAAACCCAATCCCCAATAATGATCTCACTCTCTCCTATCCTGTAAGGTCTCCTGGGAGGAAGCATACACCCAGCCCTTCCTGCCCTGATTTGGGGCTATACCTCAGCTGGGTCTGTGTCCTCATTTAAGATCCTCACTACCAGCTCCCAGGACACAGCTCTGGGACAAGGGAGGGCTTGTCTGAGGGGCTTGTTTGGATGACCCAGAGCAGGAAGTATCAAGGGAGGCCAGAGGAGACCTCTACATATGTCCTGCCCCAGGTGCTCAGTCTGAACACATCTTGTTTATTCCAGCCTTCTCCAGCCTACGAGACAACATCGCCTTACCCTAAGGTACTTTCCTTGTTGAGTTCCAAGCTTGGCTTCTAGAGAATTGTAGACATTTCCCCTCCACTGCCAGCCCAATTAGGACTCTGCAGATCTCTCTCTCTCTCTCTCTCTCTCTCTCTCACTCCACTTTTTCCACCTGATCTTGCCAGAACACTGTGTGATTCCCCATCTGTCTGTCCCTTGCTCTCTGTCTGTCTTGCTCTCCTGGCCTCCTGTTTCTCTGTTTCTCAGGGTCTCTATAGTGATCCTTTCTCCTCCTGATCCTCCTACCAGCCTGATGCTCAGGTAATACCTGTTGATCACTGTCTGTCTGTCTGTTTGGACCTGTTCTCTCTGACTTCCTTCTCTGTGGTTTTTTGCCTTTTTTGTCTTTCTCTACCTCTCCTCCTTCTCCGGCTAGTAGATGAAAAGAAGGGGCATGCCTTTTGGTTGTCCCCCATTTCTAGGTAGCATGAGGCTGTTTGGCTGGGCTCCCTTCCTGCCTCCACCTGAGTAAACATGGACCTTCCTGCTCCCCAGAGTCAGCACCCAGCACCTTCCCTTCCCTGCTCAGTCCCTTCTCCCTGAGAAGGAAGCCCTGCTCCCCCAGCCCCTCCCAAGGCCCACGATCCCTCCCTTTGCCTGAACTTACCTATTCTGGGCCCCATGACTATGGAATGCAGTGAGTTCCAGCTCCTAGTTCAGTCTCAGGACCTGGTGCTCGGCAGAGAGGAAGTACTGACAGAGGGACCCCAGAGACAGCTTCGAGCCACAGCAGGACGAGTTGGTGCAGGAAATCCACGCACTGGCCACTGCTTCTTTGGCTACAGTGGACAGTTTGAGCAGGTCTTGCTCACACTACCTCCTCTGCAAGTGTCTGTCTCCTTGTTTCACTTGCTCCTTCCTCTTTCTCTCTGCTCTGGGCCCCCATCTCTGTCCTAGCACTTGCTTCTCTGTCTGCCTGTCTTTCCTCTCTTCTGTGAATCCCAGACCTCTGGCTGGGACAGCCAGGGTCAGAGTCTATAGGAGGTGGGGCTTACTTAGGTTCAGCCCCCTTTTTTCCCCCCCCTCCCCCCCACCATGCCCCCACAGGGAGGAGGCAGCAGCCTCCAGTCAGTGGCTCAGACAGCCTGGTTTCTTTGCAGGCTCCCGTCTGTCTGTCTGTCTGTCTGTCTGTCCTTGTCTGATAGCAGTAGAGGTGGGTATTAAACAGGGGATGTTACACCTTAAGCCCTAGGGCTATTCAGGGGACAAACACTCTAGAATTCCCAGTCTCCTGGATGTACTCACAGTCTTCATCTGAGTCCCTTCTACTGAACCCTTTGCCTTCTTGGTCCTCCATGAGCCATGGGCAGCGCTTGCTCCTACACTGAGCACTTGTCTTCCATCACTGCCTAAGCCCTCATCCCCTCTCTGAGTACCGCCAACAAGCTCCAAGGAATGATCTTGTCTACTCAGGCACCATGCCCACCTTCTTGGGGGACTCATGGTAGACACTCTATCCATCACAGCCAGCGAAGACAGGGCTGGGGTGGGATAGGGAAGAAGGGGAGCAGAAGAACAGATGTAACATCCCCAGAGATTTCTGGACTGAGGACAGAGATTCTGCAGCCAGCTGGAGGGCTCCCATCTTCTGCTAGCATCCCTGAGGGACCTTAGGCAAATCTCAACACCTCCTCAAGCGTCATTTCCCTCATCTGCAAAGAATACAAGAATCTTTCCTTGCAGTACTGCTCTTTCAAAAGTTCACTGGGCCTTGAAGAAGCCAAGCCTGGAGCAGGACATGGTCAGGCCACATGACCAGTAACCTCAGCACCTATGACTGGAGGCCAGGGGGAAGGAAGATTTCAGTTGATGGCCAGCTCCAGCGTTAAACCCTATCTGAAAAACAAACTAAAGAGCAAAAGGCCCACGTGTTTGCCTAGCAAGTGGGAGGTCCTGAACCCAGTCTGGAGAAGGGAGTGGCAGAGGCGTTGCTCAGAGTAGAGCAGGAAAAAATAAAATAAATCCTACATTTCCAGCATGCACCACACATTCCCGCCAACACAAGGCTCCCTGGGGCCCAGCCAATCTGGAAATTACATACTAGACACTCAGTCAATCTCAGTCACTTTTCTGGTAATCAGCTTGTACCTTGGACCTCTGATGCCAGACTCAGGCTGAATCCCAGGCTGAATACTCAGAGAAAGATTCTGATTTTCCCCAAATCTATTTAGTCAAAAGTAAAGCTGGGGGATATAGGTTTTGAGTCTAGCTTTGGTGCAATGGTCAGGAAACTTCTAGAAGCCCCACTGTTAGCAAAATGAGCTCCCTTAGTTTAGTCCACTCCTTCCCTTCTCCACAGATTAGCATGTTCCCTTCCTAGGCAACACAGGCCCTTATAGCAAAACCAGTAAATAATCAACTTCCAACACCCTTTACATTGGAATGACACTCCTCTGGGGCAGCTTTCACCATATAAGGCAACAAGAGCCCCTTAGAGTGGCCTTCAGGTCTGGGCAATTGCAGGACCCCTTATCTACTATTTGGACAGCAGCCATAAATCCTAGTCCACCATGATGAAGCCCCTGGCCCTCACATCCAACCAGGGTCTCCGCCTCCTAGCCCCTTCTAGCCCCTCCTAAACCTCCTAGGTTGTATAGGTCACCCTAGACAATAGCTTGTGCATTTTTTTACTTCTCCCTTGTGAGGAGTCTTGCTGGCCCTGCCCCACCTTCCTGACAATAAACCTTTCTTTGTTCTCAGTACCTGGATGTCCTCTTGGTTCTCTGGCAAAGACTAATCTTATTTAAGCTTACACCCACTTGGCTCCCATGGCTGTATAGGGTATAATTTAAAGCTGGAGGGTTTGAAATTTACTGACACTAAGTAGGCACTCAGGAGAAAGCTTAACATTGTATAGATTGAAGAAGTCTTTGAAAGACCAGAGAGGTGAGCATGTGGCCACTGAGAGAAGTCAATAGCTGTTTTGGGTTGAAAGGAAAGCACAACCCCTGCTTGGCACCAGTGGCTGGGCCAGCAATCTTATCTACTCAGGAAGTTGAGATCTGAGGGTCAAAGTTCAAAACCACTCAGGGGTGGAAGGGAGGGCAGTAGGAAAGTCCAGGAGACTCTTATCTCCAATGAACTACCAAAAGGTGAAGGTAGAGGTATGGCTTAAGTGGTAGAGTGCTAGCCTTAAGTGAAAGAGCTAAGGGACAGGGCCCAAGCCTGAGTTCAAGCTCCAGTACTGTTTCATGTTCACAAGAAAGAAAGAAAGCTGGGCATAAGGGGCTCATGCCTGTAATCCTATCTACTCAGGAGGCTGAGAGCTGAGGATTGCGGTTCAAAGCCAGACCAGGCAGGAAAGTCTTTGAGACTCTTATCTCCAATTAAAACCAGAAGTGGTGCTGTGGCTCAAAGTGGTAGAGTGCTAGCCTTGAGCTGAACAGCTCAGGGACAGGACCAAGGCCCAGAGTTCAAGCCCCATGACTGCCCCCCCCCTAAAAAGAAGAAGAAGAAGAAAGAGGTGTGGGGGAGTGAAGGGAAGGGAGGGAGGAAGAAAGTACAGCTCCTGATCCTCTTGGAAAAGTCAACTTTATTCTATGGCTCCAAGTCCCGCAGTTTAAAGTCAGCACTGTATGATCTCAAGGAGACGGACAGAGGTGGACCTTCCTAGACTTAAAAGCGCAGGTGCAACATTGAGAAAGAAAAGATTTCTTTTGACTTCTAGATTTTCTATTGCCCCCATCTAAGCCTCAGAGGCTGAAGAAGTTTTACACATGGAATTGGCAGGGTACTTATCAGGACCAGAATATTCCTGAACTCAGAGCTATAGCGCTGGTGCAAGGCTCAGGTAACCCAGAGCCTCTGAGACTTAGGCTAACAATTGCACAGAGTGGTAGCTCAGGCTTTGTAAGAGGCAACTTAAAAGATGTTTTTGCTGGGTCTGTGAATGAGCTAAAAGCCCCCCAACTTTGTATCCGTGCCCTTGGATCTGAGCCATTCTTTGCAGCAGTCCCTTTGTGATCACCTTGTTTGCAGGGGGAAAGAGAAGATTCAGATGAGCATCTTGTGTGGGAGGCAAACTGCCCCTTAAACAAGCAATGTCTTCCTATGTTAAAGCAAACACCTCCATATTCAGGAGACCCGCCTTGTTCCTGTTCTGTTGTAGTAACTATGAGAAAACTCCAAAATTCCTCCTGCGACAAAGACTGAGCTCATGATCAACTAGGCTATATCTAGGTCTGTTTTAACTCTGCAAGCCCTTCTCATTCCCTGCCCCCAGTTTTCCCTATTTAGCTTGGGGTACCTCTGAAGACAGTGAAAGATGTCTTCCTATGTCTGCCTGTAATAAATCTCCTTTTTTTTTTTTTTTTTGCCTCTTTATTTGACATAGGGGAGTGAGTGGCCAGATCTAACTTAGGACTCCTGGACTTTGGGTCTGAGGTCTAAAAACTGGTTTGGGCTTGAAGTATGGCCACAGTGCTTTTCATTCCAGCTCAACCACCAGCCAACACTCGCTCTCAAAGGTACCGCACCTGGTGTGTACGGCTCTGAAACACTTATGGGTCCCAATACCATCTTGTGGGTTTCCATTGTTTACAAAACTTGATGCTCTTTTTTTTTTTTTAAACAGTCTCATGCTGCTGGCAAAGCCTGTGTGGCTTGCAAAACCCTGCAGCTTTCAGATCTCACAACGTTTGCCAGCATTGTGTCTCATGCCAAGCCTGATGCTGTTGTAAAACTGTTGGCAGAATGGGAGGCTCTTCAACCCACTAAGGCCTGTAAACCAGACAAAACAGGACACTCCATCTTCTAGGACCAGCTGCTTTGGGGTACAACGGGGTGATGCTGGGTGCCACATAACAGCTCAAATTTGGACCCAACTCTGTCACCATCCTGCTGTGGGGCTTCAGGCAAATCCCCTGTCCTCTCTGGATCTCTGTCCTTCCCCTCAGTTGAGTAGAGATGGCAGAGTAAGCCAGAAACTCCAGGACAGTTCTGAGGGTCACAATGAGATGGTTCAGAAGATGAGGAGGCTGAGGTGAGAAGAGGAAGAGAGGCCAAAGGATCCTTCCTGAAAAAGGCACTAAGCTGCCTCCTCAGCACCTCAGTGCCCACTTCCCTTGTGGCTTGCAGCCAGGGAACAAATATCTATAAATGAGCTCTGGCCAGTCCAGCAACAAGCTGGGCCTCTATCAGAGCCTGGGTTTCCTCAGCCCCCACAGACACAGGGCTCACACCCCAGCTTTGCAGATCCACTTGTGCCCCCGTTAGATCCTTCAAGGAAAGCAGCAGTGTGCCATTCAGAGAGGTTAACGTACCTGGCTTATGAACCCCATCCAGTGTCAGCAACAATGGAAGCCTGGTACCCAGGTCCATGTAGATAGGAAGAGAGAACTCATTGAATTCAACAATCCCCATCTGCAGATGGGAAGGCTGAGGCTGGGAAAACGGTGACCATGAGGAGTCTCTCTCTCCTTGTGTTTCCCCAGCTAGTGGCTGAGAAACAGGCCCCATCCTGCTGAGCATCAGTTTGGCCTGGCTCCTCCATTCCCATGCTGGCTGCAGCTCATCTCCCAAGCATGCGAGAAGTTATGAGCCAGCAAGACAACTGGGGGGTCCAAGAGGGAGTGTTCTCTCTTCCTCCCGCCCTCCCCAGGCTCAGCTGTTCCAGCTCATCCAGACTGGACAGCCCACCCCAGAGCTGCTTAACAGCCTGCAGGCTTCTCTCAGATCCATTCCACTCGCCTACCCTAAGTTCTTTGGTCCCAGCAGCAGCCTTCTCCTGGGCACCACTGCCTCAATGCTGTGCTACAAAATCTACACCTTGCCCTAGAAGTGGCAGCCCCAGATGGAGCATGAATTGAGGCACCAGGCGGTTCAATCCTGACCCAGGACTCTCTCTAAGACTCGGTGTAGTAAGATATCAAGAAACCTTCTAGCAGGGCTGACTAGACTCTGCCATTTCATCCTATCTTCTCTTCAGTGTACAGCTTCCTTCTCTTTTT